GTAAAACTACCTCTTTCGTTAACCACTCATCCATAAGCCTTATTATTTCTACAAACCTCCAAGTTTCTCCCTCCCTTGTCCTTCTCTTCCTGCTACTTTCAGTCGCCCTTTTCTCAGGCTGCCCCACTCTGCAAGCAGGATAGGGTCTGTGGGCTGGCCCCTCCTGAACTCACTGGTTTCACTACTAAACTAACCTTATGTAGGGCGTTGAAAGGCTCCCTTAACTTAACCCCTGCCAAGGTTCTAGAAATTCTCAAATTAGGCCCATTCTTTTGGATATAGGTATTTTTGGCCTCAACTGCGTGTGTGCTCTGAGAGGAAGAACACAGAAAGCCCTCTAAGTGTGTGTATCAGCATGGACCAAGTAATCATTATTGCCAAGCATAGAGCAGAACTCTGAAAGAATGGGTCACGGTACAGCTGTGTTTGATCAAGAAGAAAGGGTCTGGAAATGGCTGAAACATGGGATTCTTTCTGGGGAGCAGGTGGGTTGATGGAGAAGGTGCAGTGCTAACATGTTAGACTCTAGATAAGCAGAAGGTAAAGAGGATTATCCTAGGGAGAGAAACCAAAATGAAGAATAGAAGGAAAAAACATGTGGTTCTGCTACAAAGCTACCTTACTCACTCATGATTTTACTTAGTTCTGGCATCATTGGCTGGTGGTAGCTTGAAGAGAGAGATCATTCTGACTGAGTCTCATTGGCTGCATGATAATTAGTAAATTAGTAATAGAAGTGGCTCTCTTATTTTGATTCTTTTCAAAGCAATCTAGGCATGCTCTTCAGGGATAAATCATTTGGACACATACATAGAAAGAGACCTACAAGACATTCAGATAGTAGACAAATTATAGCCCAAGAAATGGAATATTGACCCTTACTCATAGTTTAATGACACTAATGTTTATTTTTGTCCACTTTATGCCTCCAAGGTGCTTTTTCAAAATTATGAGCCTGCAATTTAAATTTGCTGCCACCAGGAGGTGACTGTGTGCGTGTGGTCTCATGGGATTTTAAGTGGCTCACTACTCAAGCTTTCCAGGTTGTAAATTGTATCAAGTTGGTATCACAATTATCCTCAAACTTGTGCTAAACTCTCTGGACTTTGGATGTTTTGGTGTCAAAGCTGTGACTGCAGTTTTTCAGTTTAGAGAAGCATTTCTATTATTGCCCTCTTTTTCACAAGCTTCTGAAGAGAAACCATAGCATATTAGAGATAGAAGGAATTTTAAAGACAAGCTAGAGAAACCCCACACACACACTCTTCATTTTAAATATGAATTAATTGAAGTAAAGTAGTTTTCCCATGGTCACAGAACTAGCCAGAAAGGGCAGAATCAAGAATTATCTCCAGTAAATGTCAGTTCCATTCAAGAACTCCTTTCCCTCTGGGTTTTTTGTTTGTTTATTCGTTTGTTTTTACAGAAGGAAAAATAGAGAAAGATGTCACCCTTTGTCTCTGGTGCTGTAAACCCATTCCCTATCTCTGTGTCAAATTCACTTCCATCACTAGCAATTTCATTTGACATTTTATGCTGTTGAAGGTAGGCGGCCACTTCCTTTCCTTATCCAGGGGCTAACCCTGGGCTGCACTGCATCTAGTATTGTACTTGGTTGTTTCTCTCAGCTGATTTTCCTTAGCAGTAGGTTTCAACTCAACCTTAGATAAGATTTTCTTTACAGTTAAGTAGAATAAATGAACAGAAATTTGAGAAATCAGTTTCAGTTCGCTAATCACAGAATATTTGAGAGGAGGACACATTTTTCTAACGATAGTGACTTCAGAGGTCAGTATGTCTCCTCAGATGTCCCTAGTCTTTCCCTAGTCTTTTTTTTTTTTTTTGTGAGGAAGATCAGCCCTGAGCTAACATCCATGCCTTCTTCCTCTTTTTGCCAAGGAAGCCTGGCCCTGGGCTAACATCCATGCCCATCTTCCTCTACTTTATATGAGACGCCGCCACAGCATGGCTTGACAAGCAGTGTGTCGGTGCGCACCTGGGATCCGAACCTGTGAACCCGGGCTGCCGAAACGGAGTGCACACACTTTAACCGCTATGCCACTGGGCTGGCCCGTTTTCCCTAGTCTTTTTGTTTGTGCCACTGACACCTCACTTTTGTTTGGCAGTTTTTGTCTTTGTCCCTGCAATGTAGCTGCCTGAGGAGGGAGTATAGTGAGTCAGGTGGATTTCCTCAGAAAGAAATGACGCCGACTTTCTTCCCTAGACCTCCACCAGAGATGTTCAAGTTTGTACTGAGGAGAGAAAAAAGGACCACCAAGCTATGAAGCCATTAAAATAGCTTTAGCATGGTACTGAGAACAAAATTATCTTAAATACAATAAAATCTTCAAGATACGTGTAAGCCTGTCTCCTATGTCTCTTATTCCTGTAACAGTGAGTGCCAGCCTTATCTTAATCAGTCTTCGGTCTCCACACCTGTCCTCTGTTGAGACATCGAGTTTATTTAGATGACCTGCTCCGTGTCCACAATTTTCACCTGTCTCTCCATCTATTTTTTTTTTAGAAATATCTAGAATTTCCAGTCTCTAGGTTTTCCTTAGACATCCCAAGACAAAGCTACAAAAACAGGAAAAGAGAGGTCCAGCCCAGCCTAGCATATCGAAGGACCAAATCCAGTGTTGATCTTTTACCAATTCCAAAATGAAGGGGTACTTCAAACTATCCCTCTGCCGTCTAGTGGGAACTGGAGATGGTTTGCATCAAAAATATCTTTTAAATATAGTAATGGCTAGCATTTAGTATATGCCAGGCACTGTTATATGCATCAGGCACTAAGTATATATATCACTTAGAAACAGTGCCTGCCATGTAGTAAGTGCCATATGTATGTGTGTGCGTACATATATGTAACTTATTTGTGTGTTTATACACACATATATATCAACTTATTAGTAATCTTTACAACTCTGTGGTGGTAAGCGCTATTATTGTCCCCATTTTACTGATAAGGAAAACTGAGGTGCAGAGAGAGTAGGTTACATACCCAAGATTATATAGCTAATATGTGGTAGAACTAGTGTTTGAAACTCTTAGCCACTATGCTATATTGCCTCGCTATACAATAATTTTTCAGAGAATCCATTATCTCTTAAGGAATTTAGCACACTTGGAAAAAGGCTTTGCTCTCTAGGCAAAACTACAGTCAGAAAGTATGAAATGATGATAAGCTATAGTAACCAACATCCTGAACTTCCTGGGTTAATACTGATTTGGAATAAGTACATTCATACTTGTAGGAATATGTATCCCAGCTTATATGGTCTGGAAAACTTGTTTTATGTTTTTATAACAAAAAGCTTAGTTGTAAAGAAAAAAGCTGAACTAATTACAACAGATTGCAAGCTGCTAAATGAGAGGGACACTGAATAATAATAATTTGTATTCCGTCTAACAGTCATCACAATGCTATAAGCTTATTAATAATGCTGTATGTTTATTTAAAGCATTAATAGTAAGTAACTCATTAAATCCTCATAATCTTTGAAGTGAGCAGGGCACTGTTTCTAAGTGATATATATACTTAGTTCTTATTCTTATTTTGTAGATTAGGAGACTGAGGCTTGGAGAGGTTCTCACCTGTCCAAGGAAGTCATTCTTTATACCCCCCTCCCCTTATTTGTTACCTCCAGGGCTTATTAATCTTGTTAAGCCAACCTGTTCTGCCACATTTAGGGCCTCTCCTGTCTAAAGAACAAAGAATAATTTGTCCGAAATCTGAAGACTATTTTTATCTCTCTTTATTGTTTCTTTTCTTGTCCCTTATTGTAAAGACCATATCATGATTTACCATACTGAGAACCAACTACATGAAATGATATTCTTGAGGTGGATATTTCTCTATGTTTTTAACATGAAAGACTTAAAGAATGTTAGAACCAGAAGGTAACTAACCATTTTATTTTATGTTTTCTCCAACCTACTCACACATGAAGTCGTGGAGATCAAAGGGTGTAGTGATTTGCTCAAAAGTACCATGAATTATGGGAAAAACAGGGACCAAAATCCATATCTTCTGACTCTATCAATTTTCGTTCTCTACTGGCTTTTTTCCTGATAGAACCCTGAGCTTTTCTTTTCTGCCAGCTAGGTGAAGATTCCTGATTTCTAAGCAAATATCAGACTCATCTTTCCCTCCATCATTTACAAAAATGCTCAATAAGGATAGTCAGAAATGAAATATGATGGCAGGCCAATGGAGACGTATTTTCGGTATGAGGAAGAGCTATCAATAAACGAGTTTCCAGTAATTCAGTTCAACTCTTCATTTCCAGGGCTTCAAAACACTATACTTCAAAACACTATACTGTTCAAAACACTATACTTAGCTCTTTTAAGTTGGCTGGCCAGTAATATCATCCTGACTGCATTTCATCATCTTGAATGTCATGGGGGAAATATCTCATACTTATATTGAAATTAAGATAAGCTACATCTTTAGCATTCAAGTTTCTAACAACCCAGGAATCCTTAAAAGAACAAAATAATTTAACATAGCACATATTTTCTTAATTAATCTTGTTCTTATTGAGCATCACATTCTTTTTTGCATATTTGCAAAATCACGATGCATCTCTAGGAATCGACGTCTAGCTGCCTGGAAGAAGTGTGCAAAGCCCTCCTTTCTGAAAGATGAAATATTTGTCCATCACCAGTCTCCTGTTTTTCCCAGTCCCCCAAGATAAATGATCTCCCTGCTCTAAGACCACAAGTTTCCCTGAACCACAGGGAAGTTAAGCCAAGGGTGGTTCCCATCCGTAGGGAATGTTAATACTGATGGAGTAAACTTAGCAGAGATGGGTAATGAATATAAATATGGGAACACAAACTGACCCATAGATGTGCTGATGAGAAGGACAGTCTGACATTGCACTGACTGGTTGAAGGTAGGTTGGGTGACCCCAGTCTGACTCTCTTGCCCTTGCCTCAACCCTAGCTTCTCCCATCTGCCCTGAGTGGAGTCTCTGCCCTCTCTCCCACAGTTGTGGACATGGATGGAAGACCTTCAGAAGGAGATGCTGGAGGATGTCTGTGCAGACTCAGTGGATGCGGTCCAGGAACTGATCAAGCAGTTCCAGCAGCAGCAGACCGCCACTCTGGATGCAACGCTCAACGTTATCAAGGAAGGCGAAGACCTTATTCAGCAGCTCAGGTCAGCGCCTCCCTCCCTGGGGGAGCCCAGCGAGGCCAGGTCAGCATGGGCAGTGCTTTCCAGTGGGAAATGCCTTGGACTAGACACGAGATAAGTCATGTCCCAGTCTTGGCTCAGCGACAGCCAGCTTTGTGGTCTTGTGTGAGCTTCAGTTTCTCCATCTGTCGGATATAAAAACGCCTGCATCATGTTCAACTTAAGTTTAGAATGAAATAGTAAATGGAAAAGCTCTAATGTTCCAAAGCATTTTTTATCATTTGTGATGTTATTCAGCAATCAATAAGTAACATAAATACAACAAAAATTAAATGTTCAACAGAAGATAAATAACATTTTCATTAAGAATTGTGGCATATTTGGTCACATGGAGAAATAGCCATTATGGAATATAGTGTTACAGTCACGCGTCACTTAATGACGGGGATATGTTCTGAGAAATGTGTCCTTAGGCGTTTTTGTCACTGTGCAAACATCATAGAGTGTACTTACACAAACCTAGATAGTATAGCCTGCTACACACCTGGGCTATATGGTACGAATCTTATGGGACCACTGTCGTATGTGCAGTCTGTCGTTGACCAGAACGTCATTATGCAGCCCATGACTGTATTCGGTATCTGATCTCAGGCTGAACTCTGAACTCTAGTGCCCCAGTCGGCAACCAAAATGATTGGCTTTGTCCCCATGAGAATGTAGGGAGTGTGTTGATATTGTCCCATTCTCCCCTATTACCCACTTATGACCTTTCTACCATTCCTTGCTGCCGAGAAAATAAGACTCCTTCTGTTTGAACCTAAACAAACATAACTGAGAAGGAAAATCCTGTCTAAAACCTTATATTCATTTAGAATCATCCACACCATTGCCTCCTGTCTATTGGCATCAATATCTAGTTTCCTGTCCCTGTCAAGGGCATTGGCTCCTCAGATAAAGTGTCACAAGGCCTTGAGCAAGCCCTCAGCAACCAGCCCTGTGCCCAGGTGCTGTATAAATAGGATTTGATGGTGCTAATGATGTCTGCCCACAGGGACTTGTTCCTATCCCAAAATCACTGAGTGCTGGGACCTCTGCCAGCTCCGGACAGAAATAATTTCATCAACAAGTCCCAGGCCAACCCTGGGGCCTGAGGGAATTACTTCAGTTGAGAGGGCTTTTTCCCCCACACCAGTTGTCCAATTAAATTAACAATGAGAACTTACCTTTAGACAGCCCTGGCATGTGTTTCTGTTGGAAATTAATCATTTCTATTCCAAACATGCACATGAGATGTTCTGAGTCCTCCTGTTGCATACTAACAAGACAGCCTCTTTCCCTTCTTCCCCCAATTCATCTTCATGAATATATAATGCGTGACAGTTTTGTCTGCCTACCTGGGAAACGCCACTGTTATTTGCTTCTGAAGAAAATTCCAAATAGTAGGAAGTCACTTAACCTCTCTGGGCCTCAGCTGCTTCATCTGTGTAATTAAAGGGTTCACTCTAGGAGCTCTGTCAGCTCTAGAATTTTGTGATGGCTTTGTGTTTTCTCTCCAATACTGTCACAAGCTTGGCTGGGTCTATGGAAATGCCACTCACTCTTACCGACAGCCAACCTTGCACAGTGCCTAAGGGCTGATGGCTGCTCAGGGATGGTGAAGGCAATGATGTGCCTGATGCCTGTTCTGCACGTTTAAGTGCCATGGATTTCACAGAGGGCCATAGGCATGTGACCAAGAACCACTGCTGACCATTTGTTCCCCCACTTGCCTGACTCTAGCTCAGGCTCTCCTCTCTGATATCAAGAGCAGCCAAACAGGAAAAAAAGTAAATGGTGCCTAGTGGACACTGGCAGGATGCCTCACACACACCAGAGCACACATCTTCTCTAGGTCTCCACAACTCTCCGGGCACTCATCACTGAAGTACCTCAGTGGTTTTTGCATCATCTCTATGATTCCTAGGGAGGGTGACACTGACATAGGTGCGTGTACAAAACGATCGGAAATTGTTCTCTTCCTTCTGGAAGCTGTGCGATGGAGAAAGACTGAGAGGAGCAATCAAAAAGAACAATATCCTCCCAGCAGCAAAGGCCTCAGCAAATGCATAATGCATAGTGTTGAGTATATGTCTTGTGTTCTTTTCATGATTGAGGGTGTCCATGCAATGGGGTTTCATACCCAAATAGGCCGAGGGGAGAAGGTAGGAAATGGGATCTCTCTGGATGATAGGAGAGGCTCTTGACAACCTGGCCTTACGCTCCCTTCAGATGTGGATAGTGTGAGCTCAGATACTGTTGCTTCTGAGACAAACACAGGCTAAAAGGACTGATTTTCAGAAAGCTTGCTTTCTGAAAAAGGATTCAAAACTAATGATTTTCCCCTTGTCCTCTGACCTCTTAAATTCTATGAGAAACCAAGACATCACAAGATAATGAATGTGCCCATTTATTTCAAGTTTTAGGCTCTAGCTTACTCGAGGCCCTATAAAATCTAAACTTCTTAGCCTCCACGGTTTTCCTGTTATGATGATCTCTTTGGAGGTCTCACCACCCCCTCACTTCTCTGAGCAGGTCAATATGTTTAACTCTTGGTTCCCCTCTACAACGTGTCACCTCCCCCTGCTACTTTTGTATGAACCCCCTGCTCAGAAAGCGCACCCCTCCCATCTGCTTGGCTGGGTTCATGCTTTTCTTCTAATGCCCAAATCAGAACTCATCCTCTTTGAAACCTTGTTGTTGTCCCAGCCTCTTCTGTCCTACCTTCTACTCTCCCTGAAGGGGTCTGGGCCCCAGTCGGCACTTGACACTTCACTCGTGTCCTTTTAGGATTGACAGTCATTCCTACAGTACGTTCCTGGTCATGGAGCACGTTCACACGCACCATCTTATTTAACAGCCAAACATGAAGTAAGCAGGGCAGGGATTGTTAAGTCCATTTTACAGGAGGCAACTGGGGCTCAGGGAGGCGATTTCCCAAGGACACCAGCCCAGTATGTCAGAACGGGGACTTAATCAAGGCTTGCAGCCTCCAGATCCCATGCTGTCTTAACTACGGTTTGAAGCCTGTGTAATAACACCAGCCCATAACTTTGGCATAGCATTATAAAGTGGATGAATAATTTTGGCAGCCATGATCTCATTTTAACAACAATCCTGTGAGGTAGAACTAGGAAGCGTTTTTTTTTTTTTACGCCTTTAATTTGTCTAGTCTTACGCATTGTGATTAATGTGTCTAGTCTTATGCATGTGTATGCGTGTGTATTAAAATTATACATGTTAGACTACATATGTGTATGGAACCATTCCATTTCTCTAATAGTTTATGCTTTGTAGAGCCCTTTCCCATACGTTGTTTCATTTGACCCCTTCGCAATCCTATCTGAGGAACAGGAGAGCAGCTAGTCTCGGAGCTATCGTGCTGTGAACCCCAAAGAGGATGCATGTGTCTTTGGTTCACCTACTGAGCAGATAGTACCAGGCTCACAGTAGGAGTTTGATAAACGTCTCTCAATTGAATGACTCAACTGATTCACATCCGCCTTGCTCAGATGAGGAAGGCCTCCTGCTCCTGTATCACTTTTAACATGGCCAGGCCCCTCCCCTCTTTTCTCCCACTCTGCCACAGGGACTCGGCTGTGTCTAACAACAAGACGCCCCACAGTAGCTCCATCAGCCACATTGAGTCGGTCCTGCAGCAGCTGGATGACGCCCAGGTGCAGATGGAGGAGCTATTCCATGAGAGGAAGATCAAGCTGGACATCTTCCTGCAGCTGCGCATCTTTGAGCAGTATACCATTGAGGTAGAGGTGGGGGAGGAGCGTGGTGGGAGATGGGGGGGGTCATGGAGAGTGCTGGGGAGGCCCACAGAGTGCCTGCTTCCTGGCCAGGGTGCTGCCCCAGGGACTAGGAAAGGAGTGTGGGGCAGTAGCCTAAGGGAATTAGAGGGGATTATGCATCAAGGATACATTAGAAATCAACAAATTCACATTCCACCATGTCATATTGCTTCTGTCTCTCTCACCCCCACTACCAAGCAGAGCTCCTCTCTTTTGATTTCTGTCTGGAGATGACTTCATTGGGAAGTTTTTTGTTGGTATTCATTGGACTCTTACTTGGTGCTTTGGTTCCTGAAAGACTGTGGAGTTGGCTGTTTGGTGATTAAGGTAGAGTCATTGGATTCTATAGCTTCATGAGTAGGTAGGTGTTAAGATTAGGAGGCCTCGTCAGCTGATGACTGTAGAGCAGGGATTAGACGAAATCACACAGCAGGAATTCAGGAGCCACAAGAAGGAAAACCTGTATCCTCAATTTGCTTTCTGCTTATTAAGAAAGTAAGTCTGTGTGAAGGCTGTTTGTTGGTTCATCTCATAGGCTCATCGGTTCCTTCTGGGAAGGTCAGCATCGGGTGTTCTGGTATATTTATGTCCCCTTTGTGACATGCCTGCCCCACATAATGTCTGCCTTTTATTATTTTCTGTTTTGAAACAGTGACTAAAGCCAGGCCAGTAGAGTTTCTGGGGTGTGAAGAGTATCTAGCACCTAAGGCGCTTTGTCCTTTTCAGGGATGGCAAAGGGTTAAATTAAAGGGAGTCTTCTCTTTACTCCTGGCTGCTGTGGTGTGAGGGAAAGCCAATTCTCCATCCACCATTTTTTCAAACTTTGTTTAGCATTCCAGCCATCTCCTCTGAGTTGTGACTTCTGGGTGTCTGGGACTGATCTTCCCAATAATATATGTGGAAACTTCCATGGAACTGGTTTGGAAGGAAAATGATTTTTTTTTAAAGTTGAAAGCTCCACTATCCCAATCCCAATCCCATGGAGGACCAGACCACTGTCCTGGCAACAGCTGCCTTTTTCTTCAATCCTGAGACCAAAAATGTTTATATCGAGAATCAGAAGTGTTAAGAAAACCAGTCCTAAAACAATCCTTCTATCCCTCACTGTCTTATGACCCTTCTCTTTGTATAAACACACCTCTACCCCTGCCTCCCTGAAAGCCACTGCAATTTCTTGCTTAAAGATCTCATGTTCTAAAAGGTACCTTCTGGGCTGTTTCTAGAATGAAGGAAAAGATGTCTTTAAATCTAGATCTCTATTATCCTTCCAACTTATTCAATGACTTTAGGCGAATTTATTTATAAGTAGTATGACAAGTAGTATATTTAATAAAAGTAGTATTAAAACATATATTGAAGGAACAGTTAAAAAGCCAGTGGAAAATTAGAGATATTGGCACACAGCAAAGAGTGAATGTGGTTAACTTCATAAAAGTGGAGCCACAAAGGCAATAAAGGAAAGAGGGGGTGTGAGTTATTATTCTTTGGTGATTGGGAGTGAGACTCACAAAGATAGGGAGAGGTTACACTCAGTTGCTGTGGTGTAGGCCCCAGGCACTCCCACAATCCATCCTCAGCTCCATTTCACCCACCAGGAGTGAGGACATCCATGGGGGAAGTTACATCATTAGTAGGTGTGGTGATTTTGTTGTTGTATTCTTTATTTACTCTCCTGTCATCCAGGCCCACATCAAAAAATGCTTAAGGAGAAGGAAACACTCTGAGGGTTTGGATGTTTAAATTTTAATTGATTAAATGGCTGTGATTTTGAGGTCAAGGTTTCTGGTTTGTTCTGGAGTGGGTCAGTTAGCTTCACTTTGCCATGGACTACACCCCTGACATCAGCTGGGGGCATCACAAGGGTGTGTTTGCCTGCAGTGATTGTGGGAAAATCCATTTCCACTCCTGAAAAACAACCCAAAGTATATGCAAAAAAAAAATCCTTAAAAAAAAAGCTGACCGTAAATCAAATGCTTTAAAATTGGATCCTATTTAAATGGTGCAATAAGGGAGCTTGATATTTAAATTGTAGGATTTGCATTCTTCAGCCTTTCTGTTGTACAAAAATTCCCCCTCCCACTCTGAATCCTGGACAACAACTTGGACAGCTTGGTATGCAGTAGAGCAAAGGTGGGGAAATAGTAAGAGGGTCTAATACAACGACTGAGATAAAAACAGTGATTTGGTTCTGCTCCGTCTGGTTTAGGCAGTGACATCCAGGTTCTAAAAGGGCTCTGCTCCCCATTTTGGGTGTGGCCCAAAGCTTGGGGAAATGCTGCATTTCATCTTAGATAGAAATGGAAATCCTACCAAACCTATGGAAAAGTTCTGCTTCAAGTCAGATGGTCAGAAGTTATTTTTGAGGGTGATGAGATTATTTCAAATACCAGCTAGCGTTTCACTGTGGGGATGAAGGGCAGACATCTAGAGAGGATTTCGAGTGTGAAACTGAGGATGACTTCTGCAATGAGAGATGTGTCAGAGCTGACAGAAGCCAGGGCAGCGGCTGTCACTGCAGGACCTGCAGCCATGGTTTCCTTCCCTAAAGGAAGGAATTTGATGGACATACTTGGAATTCCTGGGGATTACTGAAAACCAGAGCCAGCCTGCTCCCCTGACATCTGGGGAATCTAAGCATGACTCCTTAACCATATCACTGATGGCTGAGATGGGCTAATTAATTTAAAAATTAAGATAATATGGGAGTTGCTGCACCAGTCTCCTTTTACTCAATAATAATGGTATATATGGTGCCCACAGTATAAACTGGGTTGAGGTCATAGGACACACCCACTAAGAGTGAAACTTATCCCAAAAGTGTTAGGCAAATGTTGAAAACCAGGACTGCAGCTTCATTCCTGACATACCTTCTTAGACTCCACAGAGACTAGACAAAGTGACCCATAGTGGACCATGATATTTTATAGTTTTTTCCTAGAGGTTCAGCCTCCTTCTATGAAAGACATTTTATATGAAGTGGTTATGATAGAAGAGACACTTCACCAAATGCAAATGTTTATTTTGTGGTGGTAAGAATATGGATAATTTTTTCTTGTTTTTGATGCTTCCATGCATTTCAAATTTTCTACAATTAATCAGAAGGATCAGAAAGAAATAAAAAATATTTTTAGAAGCAAGAACAGGCCAGTGGTCTCCAAACTCTTTTGATTATGTACTCTCTCAATAAAATATTTTTGGACTTGCAACCCCCTATATATGCATATATATTAGTCTATAAATTATGTACATGTTCTACTATCACTGGCTAATAATCTCTAAACTCAATGTGCCCTTAGGGTAAAGTTGAGCTTTTTCATCAGAATTTGTGATTCCATATTTCAAATAATCTTCTCGATAATTTCCAATTATTTTTTTGGCCTGGTTTCTTGACAGGTCTGATTAGATTGTCATTGTTTCTTTACCCTGTAATGGGGCTGATAGAGTTCAAAGTTCTCTTGTGCTTTCATGATTAGTATTATCTTCAAACTGCAGTTTCTTTGAGGAACCTTGTTAAGCTATGTATCTTTTTGTGAAGGTTAGTTTAAACTAGATAATAGATAAATCCATTTAACTGGGCACATGAAAAGAGCAATAATTTGAAGTATGCTGAAAGTAACTGAGCAAATGAGCCAAAGTCCACCCCTCTACATTGTGCTGCTCCCCCCTTCCCTGAGGAGCCCTCTCCTGCCACCCCATGTGCCATGTGGTCCGAATGGGCCTCCAGCCTCATTCTGCTGGTGAAAGTCTAAGGAAATTTCATGTCTTTTTTATTGGCCTAATAAAATATGTATGCATATAATATATATGCACATATGCATATTTATATACAGAGAATTTTCATCTCTGTTATCAATGGATAGTCTTGGGCATCCCCTGGGGTGGGTATACCCACATTGGAGAGTACTAGAAATGACACCAAGAAAGATACTCTAAACAAGGGACTTATGAAAAATGGGCCACAGCTGTGGTCTTTCTTTTACGTCTCTGACTCTGTAATTACAATCAAAGTTTGCTCAATGCACCTGAAAATTAAACCTGAATAAGGAATGGAATAGCCAACTATAAATCTATGGGGCTCGCATTAGGACAAGTTGGAGCCAGGCTGAGGCTGGGAAAAAATGGGCTTCAAGGAGGAAAATTCCACCTAGAGGAGAGAAAGCTGATGGAACTGCCTGGTGGTCTCAGCTCTGCAATTGGTTGTATACAGAGGCGCTTAGCTTTTTCTATTGGAAAGAAATTGCTCAGTCAGTCAGCCTTCTAGCTGTTAGAAAGTCAACTCAATAAATATTTAGTGAGCACCTACTGTCTTCCAAAAACTATGTTGGGCATTGAGAATACAAAGAGTCCCTGACATTAGGGGGCTAGTTGGGGAGAAACACAGAAGCAGGATATCATACAAGTAATAATTCCATAACAGAGAAAGGCTCAGCATTTGACGAGAACGCTGAAGGAGAAATGCTTAGCTTAGTCAGGCTGCCCACAGAAGGTTTCCTGATGAGATTACACCTGGAGGAAGGTAAAAGTTGGTGGCCAGGATTTGGCATCCCTGAAGGATACTGTCCAGCCTCTACCAGAATATCTTCAGAGCCCAGAAGCGAGGAGTAGTGGGGAGATGGGAGGAGGGGAGAGAGAGGAAGGAGAGTAGGATTTCATTACTTTGTTGAACCAAAATTTCCACCCTTCTACCCTTTGGTCCTAGTTCTGCTCTCTGGAAAAAAGACAGAACAAATCTGTTTTTCTTGTATTTGGCAGCCTTAAAAATATTTAAAAATGGTCATCATAGGCCTCTTTTCCTTTATCTGGAAAATGTTGAGTTGCATGTTATTTCTGCAGTCCCCTCTGACTCTAAAAATTACTTCTCTTTATCGTCAGCCTTTTCTCTGTGGTACCTATCCTGAATTTATTCAGCTCTTTCTGGATTTGACATGATTTCCAGACACCTAACTCTCCTGGTCGCCCTCTGC